CATTTACTCGAAAAGAGAAGGGATTTTCTCACAATGTTCGGCCTAACAATCCTCCAAATAAAAATAGGTCATTCATTTCATGGCTGTTTGTAGGACATTACTGTGTGCAATTGAGCTGCTTGTTCGTGTAAAAATACACTTTACAGTAAATCCTGTGAAGCACTTTCGGATGTCCTCTTGACATGAAAGGCACTATACCAAATACAACGGTTATTATTATTATATTAACCCTGACTTTGGTTGATTCTATAGAAATGTGACTTTTCTCATCCAAAAGCACATTTAGTTTGATAAACGAGCGTTGGAAGGAAACTTTTTTTTTTTGAAGTGCAGTTCTGATTTTTAGAATATCAGAGTTAAATTTAATATTCTCTCAATTGTGTCCACTTGCCCCTCACAAGGTAGACCAGGTGCTCAGCAGCTTAAGTGAAATATTGGAACTTAACTTTTTAAAAAAATTCAATTCTTAAATGGCATTTTACTACACAATGATGAACAACAACAACAACATTACATTTGTAAAGCTCCTTTCACGTTGGGTGGACGTCCCAAGTCGCTGGACAGTGTACAACATTTCAGACAGCATTTCAGCCAATTTTACACCTTTAACCAAGACTTCGTTAACAGGAGGTTCAAAAAGTAATAATCCTTGCATTTGATTTAGTGCCTTACATGTCAGATGGACATCTCAAAGTGCTTCACAGGATTGACTGTAAAAGGTGCAATGACTATATTGCGGGTGAATGCAGCAGCAAATTTGTGCACAACAATGTCTTGCAAACAACTATGTTGTTTTATCTGGGGTATTGCTGGCCAGGACAGTGGGAGAAACTCTATGGTGCTATGGGATTTTTAACCTAACCTTAACAGGTAGATGGGACCTCAATTTAACATCTCATTGCATTTCTGACAATGCAGCACATCCCAGCAGTGCATTGCATGTTAGCTTGGAACTGTGTGAGTTATAACACTGGGCTTGAACCTACAACTTTCTATCTTAGAGGCCAGTGAGCTACCAACTGAGACCGGCTGAATCCACTACACAGGTTTAAAGGCAAAATGAAAACTAAACTGGATTGTATGTCCTAATTTTGACTGACACTGCTCAAAGAGAGAAGGGGGTTTCTCCCAGTGTTATGGAGAGTTGCCGGTATATTCATTATGTGAGTTTTGACATTGTCATTAACAGATTATTCCAATGTGAGGATTGCTACAATCAAACCCGACATCTACACATTTCTTTCAGAAATAGTAGCAAATTGTGGCAATTAATGCTTTAAACAGTCACTACATTTTACAGTATATCCTGTGAAAGACTCCAAGACCGATGGGCGATGTGATAAGGTGCTATATCAAATGCAACGATTATTATTATTAGTAGTAATTCTGCTTCCTCCCCTGCTCCAAAAGTCTGAGATGCTCCAATTTCAGTGACCCCACCATTACTTGGTTGCACTTGACAGCGAGTACATACAGCAATCAAACCTGTTATTGCTTAAGCACCACACCATCTGTTGCACTTATCCATTGAGCAAGCCGATAGTGCTTCTGTTAAAATATATTACTAACCTATTATTCAGAATTGTATAGTTAAAACCTTGGAATCAGGTTATATAAAAATTATAGATGAAGAACTTACATGTTTAAAGACGACACGCACACAAATTAGTATGCCACAAAATGTAGATACACACATGAAACATTAATGACAGAAATGTACAGAAGTTTAGGAGTTGAGATCTGTGCTGGATAAGTCGCGATCTCAAACTTTACATAATCTTTTCACAACGAAATACAGTCAGAGAGATAAAGCCAGAGATGTACACAATGCAAGCAATTTCAGAAATAAAAAAGGCTCCATTCTCTAAAACCTCTGCCATGAATCGCACTGAAATATATTGAAAACTTTCCCCTTTCCATTGGTTATGTTGCTGTTTATTATGCATCTGAAGAGAATCATGTGATGGATCATTGACATACATATATTGCTCAACTACTGGTGAAGACTGTTTGGCAGACGTAAATGCAAGCAGCCGTCAAAGTGATGGGGGAAATTCTGCATTTGATCACAGAATATAAAAATGAATCATTCAGTTTGGCTGAAATCAAATTTGAACAAGGATGAGTGAGTGTTTGTTGGCCAGGGCTGGAAGGGTGGACAGTCAACAATTGTCAGATGATAACCTACGTCATTATGTCAGTGGAGAATTCTAACAATAAAAAAACCTTTCACTTGATGTACACCTTTCCCGTCAGGAGGATATCTCACATTACTTCACAGGACACTTACTGTTAAGTGTAGTGACTGTATTTTCTGGCAAAATACAATAGATTTATAGACATTATATAAAAATAAAAGTAGTCTGATTTCATTAAATCTTCAGCATATCTAAATACAGTGATACAAGTGACTGAATGGTAGGGTTACTCATCTGTAGATAACACCAAGGAATTACAGATGAAAGGTGACTGAAAAGCTCAATCTGTTGTCTCGGTTTATTTATTCTGTCTGAGGATATGGGCGTTGCGGGCAATTTGCTGATAATGTATTGCCCATTTCTAGTTACCCTGAGAACTTGATGGGCCCTCTCTAAACTCCTGCAGTCCTTGTGGTGATGGTGTAGTCAGTGTTGTTTGGCAGGGAGTTCCAGAATTTTGGCCCAGCAACGATACAGGAGCTGTGATTATACATCCAAGTCAGAATGGCATGTGACTTGGAGCCAATGTTCATTTGATGCTACTTCTTTTTTTCTTCTGATCTAAGTGTCTACTGCTCTGTGAAGCCAATCTCTATTATCACAAAGCAAACATATGAGGAATGAGGATGTCACTGAAAGCATCTTCAGGAAAAAACACCAGCAAATGATTGCTTACAGATCCCCATCACAATTGCAGATGCAATTTGTTTTTGCAATTTCACCAGTCTCCATTTGACATAATTAGCTGCCTATTATTCATTTTGCTACAAACTTTACATTGCAATGTTGGAGCAGAGTCCTCCTCAAACAACAAACATGACCTAAATGGGAGTACGAGCAAATATGTGCAAAGAGACAAATAGCCCAGTATGCCAAAAGCCTGAAAACCAAGCCAAACTTTTTTTTTACTGCCCACACTGAAATGATTCTTTACTCAGTATGGCTTGATCCAGAAACAATGCTAATGCAAGGCTGATTCAAAACAGAATTTTTTATATATTTTGGTGCAAACTCAATCAATGTAGCTTCTTTTTAATTCTGCAAAAGTGGCACACATTGTGGAAAAACAAAATCTAACTTCTCCTTATGAAAGGGATTTTCACTCAACTGGAAAGTTTTTGCTATGAATAGCATCCTGCCCTAACTAAACACTAGCTCCTGGTAACTGAAGGGTCTCCTTCAGTAAAGCTGCTTTAGGCCATGGACAAGGGTCGTCCCGTGCAGCTGAAAGCATGGTGACATTAATGAATTCACAGCAGGAAACCAGTGAGCAATGAGGCCAGGTTTACATGCCAGATGTAATGGTATTTTTGATCTGCACACAGTCATTAAACTACATGACTGTGCCCTCGAATGGCTCTATAAAAATCCATCACAAGTCAAGTAGACGAAATGTCAAACCAGAAGATTTTTTTTCCATACTCTCAAATGTTAGATTTTTTTAAAATATAAAAAAGAAGTTTGTGTTGAGTTCTGCATACACAGCCATTGCATTGTTCCCATCAACAGCTATAGACTATCAAACTGCCTTTTCCATTAACCAGCATAAACTAGGTTAACAAAATCTACACCCCCACACTTTAGTACCCTTATAAGGATTGTCAATTAAATTACACACTTTAGTGTGAATGTTGTATGTTCTTCACCAACACTTTTACAGGACCAACTCCGAAAGGGCATGAAATGAAAGTAAAGTAAATAAAGTGGTAACATGCAGCCTTCATTCAAAATCAATGATGATAGTAACCTGCCTCTTCCCTACGTTCTCAAAAAAATAATCAGCTGTGTACCAAGTGCTAGAATCGCTTTGGGACACTAAAGAAATGAGGAAACACTGCCCACAGTACTCACACAATGAACACATTCACAGTGTGTTGCCCCATCTCCCTGGGAGAGGAGCGCTAACAGTAAAACATACAAGTGAGCACAAACAAAAACGGAGCAGAAGAATCTCATGCAAACATGTTATGACTATGAAACATTTTCAGATAAATGGGTCATGTTTGTACTGGGGAGCACTGCAGGAGAATGGTCAGGAATTGATGTTTGTGCAATGAAATGTTATTCAGTGAAGTAGGCCCATCAGCAGCAGGCACAATGTTGTGTTTTTTTAAAACTACTCTCCCTTCACTTGGGATCTGGTTTTGCCACGTTTTATACATTTTGTGTCTGTTTATACATCTTATATCTGTTTTTCAACACTGTAAAGGTTTTGAGACTTTTTTTCTATGTGAAAGGCGCTGTTATGAGTTCAGGTTTTTAACCATACTAATGAAACAAACATTTCCTATTTGCAGCTAAACTCTTTTCCTTAACCACCTGTTAATATTTAATCTCCTCCAAAGCCTTTCATCTTGTGAGGCTGTCTCAAAGCTCTATAGAGCTCTGCATCAAATGATGATTGCTATTGCAGTTATGACAGTTTTGGTAAAACAAACAGCATCCTGTGATAATATGAAAGTGCTGACCAGTGATTCAGGCAACTGGAGATCAAACCCCTTTATAGACTGATTGGGATTTTATGGATCCCAACTAGCGTGTTTGGGATTCTACTGTATTTTCTTAATTGGTCGAGTTACATCACATTTTCACTGTGCTGAAGATAACAAAGATAACATTAAGTGTCAGCCTGCACTCTCGCCTCTGCAGTGCAATCCTGTGAAGTGCTTTGAGACATTGATGACCTAATAGAAGGCAATACATAAAATGCAAGGATTGTTATATTAAGAGGTGTGGCCTTGGATGTAAAACGCTCAGTTAGAAAATGCAAGAAATCAGAGAAGGAAAACGATAATAACTTACTATTCCAAAACTAGGATCATTTCTGATGGCGTCTCATACACCTCATACAGGTTGATGACCCAAGGATTGGATTTAGCCATTTCCAGCACTGCAATCTCGTGAATAATTTCCATTCTGGAGTCTTGACCTTTTCTTCTTTTCCTCATAAATTTGGCAGCATACTCTTTTCCTGTAGCCTTTTCCGTGCATTTTTTAACGACTGCAAATTTACCCCTGAATAAAACAAAACATATACGTTTTTAATTATTTTACCAGACAAACTAATGTTTTGGAACTTTACTGTACCCACAGATATTTCAAACAGTCAATGGTACCTCAAGTGGTTTCATTCACCTGAAGAACTTAAAGCAGGCACTAAGTGTCTGTCAAACAATAGTTAGTCAGCGATGTTCAGTGGGCAAATCTTGTTCCTGAAATGCCAGGTTCAAATTCAACAATTCAAAGAAAATATGAGGTGATAATTATTAAAGATCATAGTTAAAGTCCGTTTGGTTTACCATTTTGTTCCTAGTAGATGTACATACAGTAAATTCCAGATAACTTGTTGCTCCAAGAGAAAATGGCTCAATGACTTGTTATCTGTGGCGAATTAGGCATAGGTCTTCCTGGGCCACAAGGGGACACTGCGACTGGTGCAGGCACTCGCAGAGGCCTCTGGTCGATTGGAGGGCCATGCCTTGGCTTAACACCCATCCTCCCGCCCTATCCTCTGACCTATTAAGAGTGTGGGAGGCCACAGTGCGGCCTTCCAATAGACTGGAGACGTCTGCGATGCATATGAGCTTGCGCGCTCAACCACCACCGAGCCTCTGCACCATTCACAGGAAAGGGCGGGAGACTTCTGAGATGCAAAATGCCATCTTATAGGTTGAGTTATCCAATCCATCTGACATTGTATGTACTTACAAGAATTTTTAGAATGTGGTGAGTTATGTGTTAAGCAGAGTGACAAGGGAAGCTATGTCCCCTATTAATATTTTGCAGCCGGGATATTGACAGCATGGCGAATGATGCGGAATTTACTGCAATTGCAAATTAAAGTATCCAATGCTTAATTTTATTTAGCAATTGCAGACCCAAGTCTAAGCACAAAAAACAGAAACAGCATCACCTATAGCACATTGGTGCTGGTATTTGCATTAAAACTGCAATAACGAAGCAACAGCCAGGTTCAGTAATGTCAACTGCAGCTACCAAATGAAAGAGATACAAATATTTGTTTTGTTCAATAAATTTATCCTGTGCCTTAAAATACACCCTGATTTAGCCACATACAAACTTAAGGTATACATTTAGAATTATAACAAATTGCATTTAAAGTATTTGTGCCAGTAATTTAGTTTGAGTTTAAACATAACTTTGTGCTAAAGTGTACTATATACAGCTTTTAAGTCTGTTCTAGAACTAAAATGACCAAGTATGTAACTCCTATTATCAAGTGCCCATAATTGTTCCAGCCTATATTATATTAGTGGGTGGTGTCTATGAGGAAATAGGCCTGTTGAGAGAAGAGGGAGGGACATATATGAGATTAAAAATGTTTTAAATATAATGGCTGTTCAATTTAAAGATTAATGCGGCCATTCAGTTGCCTTTCAACACTTAAAAGAACCATTACCGAAATGGAAGAAAAACAGTTTAGTTGCAGCTGAATAGTTAGGATCTGTCTGTCTAAAGTCTGACCAGCAAGAAGTTTTGTAAACATTGCACACCAACAGAGATATGACAAACCTCAATATGCGCTTGACTTTTTATTGAAAATTCTTGTTTTAAACCGAGACTTCCGATTACATCATTGCAAGTGTTTGCCTGAAGCAGTTACTGATTCAGAGTTTATAGAAGTGAATTATCAATTTTCATGATCATGAACACTATAGGGAATTTTAGCTTTAGCTGTCAAAATTCACTTCTGTCATGGCATTGTGCTCCATTACACAATGCAGATGCAAGAACATGATTCAATTTGGGAGTTTAAAACCAGAACTGGAGAACAATTGCATAAAATTCATAAGTTTCTACTACAGCTAAAGATTATATGGATTTTTTTTCCTGAAGAGTAGTGCATGCACAAAACAGAAATCAAGTCAGAAGGAGTCAATGCTGTATTAACGTTAATAATTGGATGAACATCTAATTAGGAATTGAATTGAGGGTTACAGGGTACAGACAGAAGTGGCCAAATGCTGTATGGAACATGACAGGCATGCCACAAACGACAACTAGACAAGGATGAAAGGTTAATTGGTAATTTGCTCAATTTATTTTCAGTAATAATAAAGGCCAGACTTTATAAAATATTTCCTCAGATTTTGACACAAGCTTGATACAGTTCACAGTGGGGTCAATTTAGCACTGCATTCAATATTTACAAAAGGGATGGGAAAGAGGAAAAACAAGGATTGGATTACATAACGAGCTACAAACTGGTGTTTGAATCTAGCGCATACTGACAACTGAAAATAGTCGCTCAGGTCAATTACATGGGTTCCCTTCACCAGGTCCCTGATTGTGTCCATTTTCTACAATATTGCCCATCTCAGTCACTCGATCACCTAAGTACAGCCAAAACTTCATCCTGACCTTGGTCACCTCCAGGGTTTACTTCTCTAATGGATGCACTCTAGCCTCCGGAAGCTCTACCCTTCACAAGCTCTGGACCATCCAGAATTTGGTTGCCCACATTTTCTTTTGCACAAGGCTTCACAAACCCATCACTTCCATCTCCCCAGACTCCACTGGCTCCCTTTCCCCTGTTAGCAAAGAAGAAGGGCGTAAGATGAAGGGTTTCAGAAGAAAATTGCAAAGGGTGGGACAAAATGGCTCTTGATATGCAGACATACTCTTCCCTCTACACCCTTCTCTCGCCTCCATTAACTTGCCCCACCATCAGCAGAGCTTCGCCCACAAATATAGAGTCAATTCACTTTACAGTTTATTCTGCTCTATCAAATGCTAAAAATATTATTTATTTTATCATACACAAGACAAATATCAAACTAAAATCCACATTAAAACTATAGCTATATCAAATGCAAGAATTATTATTATTATATCAAGTTGGATTTTGAGGCGGCATCGATTCAATATGAAGTCCTGTCCCTTCAATGAACTCCAGGAGGTGGTTTCAGAATTGAATCAATGCCATTAGCATGAAGTATGAATCCAGCTTTGCTGCAGCCAAAGTTCTAAATTTAAAAAGTTCAAAGGATCCATAGTCTTTCATTCTTTAAAGATATTATTGAATAGCTACCGCACCCCTGACTAACAGATTACCAAAAAAACTAATGAGTGCGGATCTCTACACGGGCCTTGGTGAAGTCATTTCAGAACAAATAAGTATGTCTCAAGTTTCCACTGTTAAATTCTACACTGATAGAAAAGAGGGCAATTAGGCCCTAACACAAATATCCACCAAAGTTGGAACCCTCACTTGGAGAAATACCGAGCATATCTATCTGTGAGAAATGGAAAGACTCACAGTTGTGCTGTAAGGAGTGGTCAAGCACATTGTTGGGTGACTTCCAGCGAGCTATAGTGGGTAACTGATGAAGACTTAATTTACCTCTATATAGGTTCTGTGCAGCCTGAGAATGCTTGAAGCACACCATGGGTGCTAAAACTAGAAAGTCTTTATTCCCTAGGACAGACAACCCTCAATTTGTTAACACAAAACTCACATAAGGTTGTTAGAATATGGAATGCCTCCCTATAAATGCCTCTTGAAAGGGAAGTATCAAAGGGTATTGGATAAATACTCAAAATATTTAGTATAGGGAAAGAGCATGAAAATGGGATTGGTGTAAGAACATCCAGTGGAGAAACCCAGCAACAGTTTGGGCACTTTAGGTCAAATGCTCTCTTCAGTGCTGTAAACTTCCAATGGATTTGATAGTGATTTTTTTCCAAAGCAAATTTTTGTTCTATCCAGCCTATTTATATCAAACAAGTACAAAAAAAATCACAGTTTTCAAAGACGTACTAAGTCTTACTCTACAAGAACTAAATATAGATGGCATTACTGAACATCTTGGATTTTTTCCAAGCTGTTGTGACTCCTTCACGTAAAATAACTTACAGCCACATTTGAGTAGCAAGAAAAATATCTTCTGTATTACTTAGTCGCAGCTTCTGGAAATGAAGTCAGTGGTGCTTGCATTACACTACTGAATTTTCCAGGTCTTCATCACATCACTTTACTTGCCCAGAACGGTCTCCGAATGCAAATCAAGAATAGCTGGATAGTGTGGTGCCTCAGGCACGACAGGATGTCACTATGTTATCATAATGAAGGAATTTCCCATCGTGGCACACATGTCAATGTGGACAGAGACTACTTTTAGAATATAGACCCATAGAAATTTACAGCACAGAAGAATGCCATTCACATATCAATCTGAGCGTGGAGTAATTTCATTTTTCTCTGTCACATCAGGACTTAAGTTAGAAACCACACGGAGGACATTAATGAGGTGCAATAATGGTCCTTTCATTTCTGAGACGTTATTGTCGGCAAATGTCAGACCGACAGAAACTTGGATCCTGAATAATCCTTTGTTTGCTTGGCTAGATGTCCTTTTGAACCAAACTCTTTTCTATTTTTAAAATTAGAAAAGTGCTGAGAGTATTACCAATGGAATATAAATATTTCCGTCTTCAATAAAATTGGCAAAGTTAGACCTTACAATTGCATTACTCATGCTAAGAATGATACTTTGTTTGAAATACCAACTTGTAAGGAACAAAGAATATATATAGCTCCTTATATCGAAAGCTCTTAAACAATTACGATCAAGAACAGTGACTTGTTTTTGTCGGCCATTTCGGCCAGCACGGTCTTTTGAACCACCCCACATTGAATGGCCAATTAATCTATAGGATTGTTCTTTGCTTTTAATAGTCTCAGGGATCTTTAACTTCACCCGAGCAAGCAGACAGAACCTCGCTTTAATGTCTCATCTGAAAGATAGCACCTCTGACAATGCAGCAATTCCCCAGCACTGACTATTCAGTGTTAGCCTAGAGTACAAATGCAAAACCCAACATTGGGCTATTTTCATTACAATTCGGACCCAGAATTGAGAATGGTATCAACTGATCTGAGCTGATAGATATGAAGTTTGAGGTCCCCATGGTTCTTTTAGAGTTAAACTGATTATCATTTATATCAGGCTGGCTGGGTCATAGAGGGCATGTCCAAACGTTTGTGTTGGGGC